AAAGAGTCGAAGAAAAAAATCTACTGTCACGCTGACTTACTGTTGTAAAACAGTGTGATGCCACTGCAGCAGATTTGGCATCTTCACTGCTGCTTTATTAACATATAACAAACACGACCAACTCTGCAGCTCCAAGTTTGCTCAGACCTCAATGCAGTGGTTTGCTGCCTGTGGCTCCCCTTTGTTATTGTACACAAATCATCTCATACTCACACACATCAGTTAAAACCATTATGTTCTTGCCACTCATGCAAAAACATACATGCTCTGTGTATCCACCAGCAAATTAGCGGGATAAAAAGCTTCTTTCTGCCTTTTCCATTGAGTGGCTAATTAGCTATCAAAGCATGCTGTGTGGAGAGAACGAGGTTATCAAGTGGTATGGCTTCAAAGAACAGTTTATGGAAGCCAAAGCACTTTAATTGGGATGTATTTGTATGAGAAAGCAAAGAGAATTAAATAATTTGAAGCAAAATAAAACATGAAGTGGATTGAAAATAAACACATTTTGAGCCATACAAATAAAGAGAGACACAACTATAAACTAAAAGCCAGCGGTCCACAGGAGTGCTGTGGAAACAGATTCCATAAATGTTCTGCTGCAGTCAGAGTGAGGAAGAGATCGATCATAATATGAGAAAGACTTTTGTCCATGTGTGCATCACTTTGCTATTTTGTCACAGATTACGTCCTCTTTAAAGAGATGATTAATGTTTTGTTATGTTTTTTTGTGGCTGCATATAGAAAATGATATGGTTTATGTTTGGGACTGCCTTGCTTTGGTGACACTGTGATAAATATAGATGGTGCAATATGCTGTACACCTCTCCATTCTCTGGATATGGAAAATAAATTAGTCACAAAGCTCCTAATTCACAGAATATTAAGTTATTTCAGGAAATGCTGTGATACTCAATCAATCTCACAAGCCAATAGCAGTACTATTTATTTAAATCACTTCAGATCAATGTCCTGGAGGTACTTCTGAAAATAATTCTCAAGAAAGAATTTGCCACTAAGTCTCTTAGAAATTATCTTCCAATCTTTTCTCTTACTCTCCAGATACAGCTTCTTATCTAAATATGGTCACCTCTGGATACAAACATACAAATAAGGACATTTAATAGTGATAGTGCTGAACTGGCCATACACCAAATTTTGAAGAGACATATGAACATCAAACTAAAATCATACAAAATTGAAGCCATTATGAAAAGCAGTCATGTAGTTGGGGAATCTATGAATCTAGTTTGATTCAAATTTCTATTCCATTCAACATTCTGTATATGTTTTTAAAAACAGTGAAAGTGTATATTCCTAAAAAAAAAAGTTCAAAATGACATATTTTTATGTTTTCTTTTGTAACTGATAAACAGACATGTTGATGATGGGTTTTTACAATAATCTCATCAATACAATGTGTCAACTCCTGGTGAGTGAAAGCATTTTCAGATTGCTTTTATCATTGCAACTCCATCTGACAAAATCCCGATTTGATTAACAAAGGAAAACGTTTGCACAGGAAATTCTGCTACACTCACTTGATTTTACGTTGAAGGTCACTTTAAAAAAAGCGTCTGCAAAATGCATATAGATAAACATATGCATCTCCCACAGAGTGAAATCAGACATACTTCAGTAAATTATTTTATTTGCCTTCTATTGTGAAACATATATACTAAGACAAGAAAAATCAGGGCATTTTGTGTGTAAATCATGGACCTAGACCCTTTCATGATCCTTTCATTGCAACAGGAGGAGTTTGTAGTTTTATCTTCAAGTGAGAATATGTTTAATACCCAGTTTTCCAAAAATGAAACCTTTTTAAATTAGTTTCTCTTCCTGTTTTATGCATGCTATTTTTCGATCTATCTGTGATGAGTAGTTCTAGCACCGTTGGCAGATAAATGCAGTTACACTGTAGTCCGTGGTTTGTTTTGAAAGGAATCGTGTACATGGGCCGGTCTTTTGTTTTGGTCTTTCATTTCGACAAATATGTTATCTATAGATCTTCAGAAACCTTAGAATTTAAATAAAAAATCACTTTATCTGACTATTAAATTAGTTTATCAAAGGTTTCCTTCTTGAGTTTTTGATAATGATTCTAGATTCTGTCCTCCCTTAGTTATCAGGCTCTAACCACAAACACAAGATGCTACAATGCCAAGCATGCTGTTATGAGAACTTTCTCTTAATGGCAGTCCACATGTAAACACAAACACAGTATCGCCTGTTGAATCCACTTCAGCCTGTTTGTGGAACACTGTCCTCTATCATCCTTTGTCTGTCAAAAGCTGTTAGCACTTCCATCCAGAGCTCCGTGCTCTCTGCATTTATTATTAATGGACCTCAGCAGGCCAAGGACACACACAGAGGCAGGGTTTGCATGTAACTGCCAGCTATTTCAGATAAAATATTAAATAAAACCCTCGCATGTAGAGAGGGGAAAAAAGAATGCAGAGAGACAACAAAGAATTTTGCCATCCTTTTATCATCTGGCTCTGTATAAATAGCTGGTCTGATCGAATAAATAGACTCACCAATTGCAACAACCCTACATTTTCAACTATCTGGTGTTACAATGATTTCATACAATATTATGTGCATGAGCCGGACATTACTGAAAGACATTAAATGTGCAGCACAGCTTTGAATATACTCAAAGATAACAATGAATAAATGCATTAGACTGTAAGACCTGTAGTGTATCTTTAACTGTGGTATATGGCAGAGCTGGTTGATGTACACGTATAGTGTGCTGTTTGTATTTTCGAGCAGCCTTTGCCATTAAGAAATTTGGTTAAAAAGAGGCAAGAACAAGACATAGGCCCTACACAGACTAATAGTCTGAGATGTGAGCCAGCATCTATTATCATTTTACCTATTATTTTATGGTAACATAATTAAGCCCCTCAAACCACACAGGTTTTTAGACCTCTTGTCATCAATATGGCAAAACATATGCTTACTCACAAACCGGTGATGTAGGCTATATATAAAATTGTTACCTGAAATTTGACATCTGTAGGAGAATCAAACAAAGGCGAAGGTCGAGTGTGTGCTGTCAGAGTTGGGACATTCACTGCAGGCTGTCGGTTTGATTGGCTCTTGCTCCTGCAACACAGACTTGAACTCCTGCTACTCTGCCCCCACCCCCACCCTCACACCACCACCACCACCACCATCCTTCCACTGTTTCCACAAACAGCCCTGGATCCAACAAGACCTTTCTATTTATGTTTTCCTGTCCAAGTTCAAGCAGTTATCTCATATATGTTTAGAAATCACTGAAAGAGAGTGTATTAACTGCACTAAAGAGGAACAAGAGTCCTGGCATAGCAGCTATATATGTGTGTGATGAATAATGGATTTAACACAGGCAAATGTAATTCCTCTGTGGCATTGGGAGGGTAAGATAAATAACATAAATTTTAAATAGAATGTTAGATTTTGATTGCATTTTTCATTTGGTCCGTGGACAATATATCATTGTGACCCTAAAAAGCACTGTAACCCTACATAATGTGTAAACTTACCTGATATGTAAATGGTGCTAAAAATCTTTTCATGTACTGACACTTGATTGTTCTACTGAAAATAATTTGACAGCTTTTTGATAATTTCTAGTATTCAATAACCAGATGTTGTGCTTGAATATATATTGTTTTAAACAAACAGAAATGTATTATAGGGTACAAATGCTCACAGAGGAAAGACATGATTAAGCTCTCTTGCGCCTCCAGTATCAGCTTTCCAAAAGCTATTGTTACATGAATGCTTTTGATCAACTTAAAAAAAAAAGTACAGTGCAGCTTATGGTCTACTTTAATTTAGAACATCTTCCACAGGAAGGACCCAAGAACAGCTGGTCATAAAGGTGCACCTTCAACAGGAATAATGATTGTTTTACGAGTTCAGGAATGGTGGTGAGAGCAGATTGGGTCATATCTGTTGATTATGCAGTTCCTGTGTGATTGTCATAATTAAAAACTGTAATAATGCGCAACATATTCCGATTTTTTTCTAAACTATTTATTTTAAATAGTGTCCAACACATGTATTTACTTTTCTTTTTGTTGTTGTTGTTGTACCATCTATTCTGACCAACACAGTCCAGGTCTGTACAATAAACACAAATGTAAATATAAGGTCAAATAAGTTATCTACTAAATTTGATTACTAAAATTGATTATTCTCTCTGTAACTACTTATTACATCTTTAGCGAGCTGGTGAAAAGAAACTGAAACATTCACTCAGCTTTCTAGGTAGAACTAATTACTCTTTACTTTGAAAATTGGAAAAATATAGCACATAGCAAACAAATGAAAGATCGTTATAAATAAAAAGGGATCCATGGTTTTAGACTTTTCGCACAGCAGTAAGACTCAATCAGACAGTTCAATGAAGACCTTATGAGAGCTGTTGGGAAGCAAGAATTCAAGCAGGAATATAAGAAAACTTGAACGTTTGTAGAGGCAAACTCTGACTAGAGGTTATAAAAAGAGGATTTGTGACCAGAAGAAATTGAACTAAAATCCCTTGAGGCAATATATCTGGTGCCCTTGTCCAAAGGTACTGGAAGTCTGTTTGCACCTGGATATATTAGTATGAGAAACGAGTGTTCATTTCCCCTCATTCTTTCACTAATCTTTTTTTGACTCTTTGTTTGATTTTACCTCTGTCCCCTCATGTTCTTTAAAATTTTGTCTCAATATAACTTTCATGGTTGATTGATTTGGGTGAGAGGGAAACAGGCAAGGTTTCCATATTTCAAGGCTGCCGTGAGCATGAAGAGGCAGTGCTAATCAATCACACACACAATCCCTCCTCTCCTGGGACCGCCATGTGTTAGATGACATGGTCAGCAGCTGCGGGGAAATATAACACTCACAGCCAAAAATTAGAGCCATAATAGACCAGCAAACCAGTGTTAACAGAGACATGCGAGGTGGATGTTGGATGCAAAAAAAAAAAATCCAACTTCAGTGATTAAGGTTCTACAGAAAATGTTATTTTTAACACACTGCATGACTACAATGAGGATGCGAACGTTATATGAGAGTTGCTCAATGAAATCTATTTGTGTTTATTTTATGTAGTTACAATTCTCATCTTTATCTCCTAAACCTGGACAAATTTTAACCAAATTAAGTTATGAATCGTCAATTTTGGGGGCTCAGGATTTCCACTGCAAATGTAATTTAAGGTCATTTCCAAAGAAATAACACAAATTGAAAAAGTTGTACAAATGTTTTTGGACCTTACATTAAGTATTTTCTTATTCCTAGTCAGCTTATTACGGTGTTTTATTGACTCTTGTTTTCCCTTATCTCACAGACATGTTTGGAGTTGGAGAGGTATCTACTAACCGAACCCAAGCGACTCTCAGAGCTTTTTGACGAGAAACTGGACTGTCTTCTAACTCCGGCCTTTATCGGTGGTGACAGTGATGAGGACCTGATTGACCCCGTCCACCCCGGCCTCCCCCATCAGCCCAGCCCCGCTCCGTTCCTCGTGACTCTCCCAAAGGTCCAGGCCAAAATCCTCCAGGTTCCCAATTCGAGCAAGACCCAAGCAGCTTGCCCTGAAGCTCTCTCTGTCAAAGACCAAGTCGTGGGAGGGGTCAGCGCAGCACAGCTCAGTGCGGCCGTCACATCCCTAACACCGCCCTCATCGCCGGAGCTGGGCCGGCACCTCATCAAACCCATGCAGACGCTCACGGCAACGCCAGACGGCACATTGACACTTAAGCTCGTGGCGAAGAAGGTGGGATTAGGGGCGACCAAGCTGGTCGCGGCGAGGGCGCTACCGAGTCGAGGAGGAGCCCACAGTGACGGCGAGCACGGAGGCGGAGTGAGTCTGGAAGGAGACATACCCGAAAACAAGAAGAGAGTCCACAGGTGCCAGTTCAACGGCTGCAGAAAGGTTTACACTAAGAGCTCCCATCTGAAGGCACATCAGAGGACCCACACAGGTAATACAGGTTCAGCGATTGAAGCTTACTTCAGAATAATCATGTCTTAATTTGATTTGTTCTAATGGCACTTTGAATTTTAGTTAAGATAGATATTGTTCTTAATTTCTCCTTCTCGGGTACAAAACTAAGTGTTGTCACATCACACATCGTTGAACATTTGTATCTTTTTTCTTTATTTTGACCATGAAAAGTGCAGTGTGGTCTTTTTTCTTACACCCACCCGCACACCCCCACACACACACACACACACACACACTCATATATATATATATTTGTGCTAATATTTGTATTACATATTTAGAAAATGTGTGTTAATTATTTTGTGCAATGCTCCTCAGAGCTAGGCAGTATAGAAACCTTCCCTTCAGACTGATGTTGTGTTGAGCTGCACTGGGCAAAAACAAGAAGTGAAGCCCTAAAATCAGGGGCCAGAGAGTGGCAGAGTAACTGAAATGATATGCTTAAGCGTAAAGATCTCAGTAAGGCCGAGCAGATGGAAAACTACAGATATTCAAATGTGATTCACTATTTTGCTGGAGCTGCTGAAGAAACCTGCAAGGAAGATATCAGATATTTGACTCTTTGAACGATTTAGAATGCTTCTCAAACGATCCATCAGGACGATTTGCCTCAGTCCTGACACTCGCTGTGCCTCAGCAATTACCTGATGATTGATGTTCCACAGACAGATGATCTTTCCAGTTAGGCTGTGTGCAACCGGGTCTGACGTGACGCTTTAGCTACTTGGTACTGCTGCTCTCTCAGTGACCTGTAGACAGAACACACGCCGGGCTAATGTGCCTGGGTCAGGAACCTGTGATTTTTCTCTGCTGCAGGATGCAGACGACGGACTGATGAAAATGTAGTTGTCTCATGACGATTGTACAAACGGTTTAGTTTGTAAAAGGTTGATTTAAAGTAGTTTTTTTTTGTTATGACAGTGATGCAGTAACATGCTTGTTTAATAGTCTGATCACAAAGAGACAGCCTGTCAGTGTTCATGCTCACATCTGACATTACTTCCCCTTGGTAAACATCTGATCTCAGTTACCTGCACCGTATAACATTTTCTGTGTCAGCTGTCAGCTGAGCAACTGCTGATACTTCCGTAAAAGCCAAACTACATAATTGTTCTGACATAAATGAGTTTCAGATTTAGTCTTGGATCAATTTACTAAATCAAATTCAGATATTCAAAATATCTGGCAGCTGTTTGGCATCACCCTGCGTTTCATATAGCCTGAAAACATCCACCGTATGAACACTGGCAAACATAGCCTCATTAATACAGCTTGTTACAGGCTTGTGTGACCCTTCAGCCATTGCAAAACATTAAGTGTGGCTTCACACTCCACGGCAGCACCTGAGGGACCTCACATTGGTGGCTTCACTATAACTAATTCACAATTGAGCATCCAGTCATCTGTAACCATGACCGGCGGTATCTGTAAACGTCTGATGATTGCACAGTTGAGTCATGCTAACCAACAATTCACTGTTAGAGGCAGAATCATTCTGTGGAATGAAAAGCAGACTCTCCAGCGTGCTCACGTTGTGTGCGTGTGTATTGTATAACTGTGGGGGTTGTGTATTCCCTCCCGATGTGTTCATTACAAGCACATTACTGTGGTTTAATTAGCTTAATCCTCTTTTTGGGTTATTATGACCATAAATCATTAAACATACATGTAGGCAGGGATTACCATTGCAGAGACAAAAGGGAGGAGCAGCTGCAGAAAGCCTGTACAGTGTCAGCACACTTAGGGAACCCAGTGCTCACTGGAGGCCATTCGAATAAAAATTACATTGTCTTTGCTGTCAGTGTTTGCAACATGCATGTGCTGTTCGTTTGTACAGCTGTGACATGAAGATTTTCTTACACAAAGATGTTCAGTTAGGGATACGTTGTTATTTTAACACAACATAACTACAGGTACAATTTGATATTTGAAATCTCTTAAGTACCCACTAATGAGAGTGGCTTTTTTGTAATTTCTTCCATCTATATCCCTCTTTGGACATAGTGAGATCTCGAAAAGCATTGGAATCATGTAATTAAATTGAATGTGCTCGTCATTTGAGCAGATGCAATTCAAAATAGTACACTAAACTTCATTTTTAGCAACCCAGTTAGCAGAATGAATGAGCTGTCATAGGAGCGTGCTTGTCTTTGAAAAGTCCTTACCATGAGCTGGCGCCACCAAACACACCAACCCAAAATATGTGTGTCTATGCACTCATTTTCAGATGACAGACACTTGGCATTATCATCATCACTGATGACACAGGATTACAGTTCAATAGGTATTTTTTCTGGTTCATTACTGAACATTCAAACCAGTGTTATATTACTTGACGTGGTTATTGTTTGTCTTTTTCCAAGATTCTTCACCTTCTGATAACCTGTGCCTCTACATTGTCATTGTACTTTGACATTGTGCTGGTTTGTTAGTGATTACTGAAACAGATGCTTTTAGTGTGGGCAGAGAGTTGCATTGTGGAGCATGCGTATGTTGTATGTAATATGAGTCTGAACGTGTAATTAGATATAACCATAGTGATTGTGTTTATGACAACGACAAAGTCCTCGTTGTTAACCACTGTTTTAAGCTCCCATTTGTTGTGCATTTAGGCTTAATAATGATAAACCCTTTGAGACGGTTTATTTAAATGTCCACCCTGATTTGACGTTGAAAGTGATTTTACTCTCCAATAAATTTCCAAGACCTCAACTTTTACCTTACCTCGTTCTCATTCTCAGTAGGCACCATTGCAACCTCATGTGGATATGGCCCTGCTGACCTTCCCCCACACCTCCACACTCTTCCACACCCCCTCGTGCTTTCCTCCGTTTGCTCATTTAGTTTGGGTTGCCAAGCAACTGCATCACACTCCTCCATAATTGGTTGGTGGCTGCTGGATTGTCCGTGCCTGCTAATCTCTCGCAGTGTCTCTCGCCGCCCCTCTCCCTGTCTCTCCTCTCGTTTTCTCTCAGTTGCTAGGTGACTTTATCATGCATCCCTGAATTGCTGTGCTATAATTGGCTGCTGTGTGGCGTTAGGTCTGAATGGGTCTTGCTTCATTTCTCCAACCGTGCGTGCATGTCTTGTAGCATGCATGCGTGTTTTAAAGGGGTTTGCGTTAAAGAAATATGAGGTGCTCCGGCCAATTACAGAGGACTAGTGTGAAACGTCTGCCTGTCTGGCACCTGTGGCCCCACTCAACACATGAGGCATCTCTCCAAGTAGATAAGCTGCCAAATGGTTTGTTATTGTATGTTGAAAATGCGGTCCCACATTCAATTCTGTCTGAGGGGGACTTTTTGAAACACTCACACTTACCAATATTGCTGCTGATCATAGATTATTATTTGTTTTTTTTATAGAGCTTCAATGAATATGCTGTGAAAAAATAGCAGATTGGGAAAAGTGTTCTTCTTGTCTACCAAAATAACATTAAATCCATCATCACAAAATAGACAAAATTACACAGTTTAAAATCTGCCTTGAGAGGCCCATTAGCCGAAAAACACAGACCAGGCAAAGAGGAGCATTGATCAAAGAGACCAAAGGTTACAAGTTAAGCCGCTGGAGAACTCCACAGAGGATAGAGGGACTTGAATCAGTCCATGGCACCACCAGGAGCTGTACACATCAGAGCTTTATGGGACAGTGATTTCTAAAAGTAACACAGAGCTAAAGAAAAAAAGAAAAAATCACTTTGGGAAGACTCACCAAATATACTGTAGAAGGTCCTCTGGTGAGATGGTGATAAAACAGATGTTTTTGGAAATGGAGAAAAATGTTATGCCATGCGCAACCCAAAATGCAGCAGTTTGGTGGGCAAATGCTGTAACAATATCTTGGGCGTGTAGGTCGGGGGTTCACCTTATAGGAAGACGATGACCCAAGGCACAATGTTGAAGCAATATTTGAGTGGTTTAAGAAGGAATATTGAAATGTGTCAGAGTGTTTTTCTGTGTTTTGCTATTTTACTTTGAAGAAGGATAAAAACAAACAAACAGTATCTACATGTGTTAAGGTCACAGAGACATTCCATAAGAGACTCATAGGAAGCTCTACAATGTAGTTGCTTTAGGGATGTGCATACATCATGTTGTTATTTTAAAGTTGCATTTTAATAATAATCTTTCTTTTGTTTATTTATTTATTTTTTGAGTATCATTTTAGTACTTAGTGTTATTTTTTCACAAAAAGGTTCTCAAACATGTTTGTATGCTTCAGGCTGTAAAACAAAAAGAAATACCAAGGAAAAATACCAAGAAATGGTGAATACTGCACAACTTCAGCATCACCTATGATGCACCTGAAGATTTGGAAGTATGAAGTTGTGTAATTTGTGTTTAGGCAAGAGGGGACAGGATTAGTTGTGGACCATAGTATAGTGCTATATACCCACACACACATACACACACACAAACACACACACACACACACACACACACACACACACACACACACACACA